GGGGGGGGGCAGGAAGAGGGGTGCAACAATGAATGAATGGAATTCCAAAATCTCTGTAGATGTTCATTGAAATAAAAATTAAAGAAATTTTAAAAAAGAAATGTAAAACCTTTTAATCTTTATTTGTGAAACTTTGCCATAGTAAGATGGTGGTATTACAGAGAGTGGAAATTATCAGACATTATCATTGATACCATGCACAAGCAAAATTCTACTTAAGATTATCCAGAAATGATTAGAACTGTAGATCAACAGAGAACTGCCATAGATAAAAGCTGCGTTTAGAAAAGGCTGTGGCACTAGGGACATCATGGCCAATATTAGATGGTTCATGGCCGGAAGCAAAGAGTTCCAAAAGAATGTCTGTGTTTCATTGACTCTGTAAAGACATCTGACTGTGTGGATCACAACAAATTGTGTCTAACCTTGAGAAGAATGGGGATCCAAGAACACTTGATTGTGCTCATGTGAAACCTGTACTTGGATCTGGAAGCAGTCGTCAGAACAGAGCAAAGAAACACTGTATGTTCAAAATCAGGAAAGGAATGAATCCGGGATGGCTCTTTTCTCCATGCCTTTACAGACAATATACAGAAGAGATCATTCTTGAAGCTGGACTTCATGAGAAAGAATGTGGCATCAGAATTAGAGGAAGACTCATCAACACCCTGCATTATGCAGATGACACATCTTGCTTGCTGAAACTAAGGAGGACCTGAAATGTTTGCTGCAGACTTCAATATGCATTGAAGCTCAACATCAAGATAACAAATTTTTTTTTAATTTTTGTGTGACTCTACCATCAAATCAGATCTGACTGGTACAGGAGGAGATTGTCCCCCCTTTTCCTGGCAGAGCATCTGGTGTATTCAAACCACGTGCCTCTGGGATTGTAGTTGCAGCTCCTTGCCACTAGGCCACCACAACTCCCCTCAAGAAAACAAAAATTTTAACCACATGGCCAATTGGCAGCAGCATGATAGATGGAGAAGTGATTGACATTGTTAACAATTTTATCTTGCTCAGCTCCAGAATCAGCAACAAGAGAATCAGAAGACAAATTGCATTAGGAAAATCTTTTGATCACCAGAATGCTAAAGAGAAACTATGTCAGTCAAGAGACAAAGGTGCACCAGATCCAGGCCTTGGTCTTTGCAGAAGAAGAATCGATGTCTTTGAGTTTTGGTGCCGGAGAAGAGTACTGAATATACCATGGACTGCCAAGAAAAAGAACAGGTCTATCCTGGAGAAAATAAAGCCAAGTTGTTCCTTGGAAGCAAGGATTTTGAAACTCTGTCTTACATAATTTAGGCATGTTGCAAAGAAAGAACAGTCCCTAGAGAAGGACATGATGCTTGGAAGGGTGGAGGGATGGTGCAAGAGAAAAAGACCCTAACTCAGATAAATTGACACAGTTACTTGGGTAATTGGAGTATTTATGTCAGAGACAGTGAGATTGGCTCAGGATAAGACAGTGTTCAGATCTATTTTGCGTATCATTGCTGTAAGTTGTTGTTGACTCAACAGCACATAACATTACAAGATGCATAATCTTTAATTTATGCCATAGGTTTTTCCTGTACATGTTTTGTCAGTTTAATTAATCTCCTGGAAGCTGGGGCCTCCTGAAACATGAGATATTTATATTCTTAGACCACATAGTGTTTTTTTGCTCTGTTTGCACAACAGCCTCTGGGGCTAGATCTAGATTTTGCATGAGCACAATTAAGTGTTCTGGGATTCCCGTGCCTTTCAATGTTAGCCATAGTTTATGATCCACACACTCAGATGTCTTTGCATAGTCAATAAAGCACAAAGAGACATTATTCTCGTATTCTCTGCTTTAAACTGGATCCATCTGATATAAGCAGTGATATTCCTGGTGCCACAACCTTTTCTAAATCCAGCTTGAACTTCTGGAATATCTCTGTTCTAGGCTGTTTTCAATGATCTTCAGCAGTATTTTGCTTGCATGTGGTAGTTGCTATTGTTCCAAAAATTTCTATGTTCTGTTGGATCACCTTTCTTGGGAATGGGAATAAATATGGCTCTCTTCCAGTCAATTGGCTAGACAGCTGTCTTCCAAATTTACAGACATAGACTGGTGAGTGCCTCCATTGCCGCATCTGTTAGTTGAAACATGTCAGTTGTTATCCCATTGATTCTTGGAACCTAATTTTTTTGCCAGTGCCTTTAGTGCAGCTTTGAACTTTTTCCTTTATTACCTTTGT